AGCTCCCTTCTAATTTTTGATTATTTCAGTGGAAGAGCCTGTGCTAGAAAAATGACTCGATACTTTCAAATAAACTTAAGCCTTCTTTTAATTTTTTTTAATGTTAAATTATTAACTGCACAATTTTCATCAGTGCTAGTGTCCTCAAAATCTATTTGATTTACAGCTTTGGATGCCATTTCCATCAAATCTGTTTCATTAATTTCTTCTTCCACCAATAAATCTTGAACGTCTTCAATAACCATATCCACAAAATCTTTGCCTTCAGTTGATTTAGCAAGTTTTAATATGCCACCAATTTCATTTTCTGGCGATTCATGCATGTTTTCTATTTCAACCGAAGAAGACCATATCTTCTTCTATCATGCATTTAATGTTGATGCTTTCAGTTCTTTCAGAGACAAAGATATGATGTCAATACAGTGCTTAATTGAAAAATGTCTTCCCAGCTTCCATTACATTAATTGATTTTGAATCAGTTATGCTTAAAATCCACTATAATGCTCTTCTTATGCAGTATGTTTTAAAGGGGTAAATAATACTTTGATCCAATGGTTGGAATAGCAAAGTAGTGTTAGGTGGTAGAAACAGTATTTTGACATTGGGACGATTCAAATCTTATGGGATGTATCAAATCTTATGGGTGCCTTGAAGCTGAAATTTTTTTGCCTTAAATACCATTCAGCCTCTGGCACAAAACAATTTAAAAACCAATCTTTAAATATATTTCCAGTTACTCTTTAACACTCTCAGTAACACACTCAGTAACTCTTATAAGTTAGTCTTTAACACACCATGCCTCGACCACCAGACTATCAGCCAGCAGTGTGAGACACTTGTTTTCAGGCCGCAGAGATGAAAATTCGAATTTTGGAAGCCAAACGTACAGGTTGTGTGTCTTAGAGCCATTTATTGTGACCTCATGTTGTTCACCTTCTGTGATAGTGAGGTTTCTTCATTGTTATTTGATGATTGTGCCCTCTTGAGACTGGGTATTGTTTCTGTTGTGCCATTGTGCTTTGAAGGTCATGGAAGGAAACGATTTTCCTCCGTTACCAGTAAAAAACACAATGGACACTCTCCACCATGTGTCTTGTCTCCTGGGGACATTTTTATTATGGGTATTGGATCTTGGATGACAACTGGCAGAACTTACAAAACAAGGATTCTTATGTGTCAAATGACTATATGGGTGCTTTGCTCAATATGGAAAAACATCATGCGGAGTTTTTTAAATTCCTTCGGATTGCCTGGGCAATTTTCTTATCATATTAGAGCGAAACCATGTTATAGGAAAACCATGTTGTAGGAGGGTTCTCGCAATTTATGAATCATGTTATAGCAAAACCGTGTTGCTGGATGCCATGTTTTAGGAGATCTACTTGTATACTACAACATATAGTGGCATGATTTAGCAAGCATATGTATATTATATTCTAAAAAGCACGTAATATGGAACTCGTAATTCAATACTAGCATTTAAAAAAGTGGGTTGAAAAGGCAGCTACTTAAATTTTAAATCCAACAAATATCTCCTCATCATCTCAAACCTTCTACTTGTGATGCATGCATCAGTTTTGCTCGCAGCCTTTTCCCTTGTCTTAGTGCCATGTCATAGAGTGAGGTATGTGTACATGTGCAAATTTACGATGGTGCTTGTGATCTCTTTTTTGATGATAGAATACCTCAAATTTCAGATACATTATGTTTGTTAATCTGTGGCTGCAAATAATGTGGTCATGCATGCCACTTTATATGCCCTTTTCTAGGGGTTGTTGGGAATTGCCTAGTGTCAAACTTTGCACTTATTTTGTTCACATGGTTGATCACTTCTGGAAGTTTTGTGGTGATTGTTTTTGGGAGATCCGACAGCTTTCTCTGTCAGTACTATTTCCTATAGCATGAATTTTTTTTATACAAATTAGCTATGCTGTGTGAATATTAATATTTAAATAAATATGTTTATAACTAAATTACTTTGAGTATTTTAAAATGAATCTGTGGTAAATTTTGATATAGTTTAGATATGTATTCTTTGTTATAAGAAAAATGGTCTTGAAAAAATTCAGAAAATATTATTGAGAAATCTTACTATTTAAGGGATTTATATGTATAATAATTTTGGCGGGGCAGATAGAGAAATCAGTTACATAGCAGTTGTGTTAGAGACGGTGATAGACAATAGTTTGAAGTTGTTATGTAGATAACTGGAATTTGGGAAAAGCATATAGATAAATCAACATTTTTTTCCTAAACAAAACAATTGTTTAGAAGCACATTCTTTCTTGATTGGTACAACACTTAAGTGTGCTGTATTCATCATACAATTTTATATATGCAAATCACATTGTTAAATAGCTGAAAACTTCAAAGCAGTTAATTACATGTTTGCACGGTAACAGCAGGGTAGAAAAGTGGCGTATTATGCAGCTGGAGTATTTAAAGGCTCGGAATACTTTGTTTAAATCCTGAACAGCGAATGGGCAAGAACTTACAGCAATGTGGATGAACTCCAGGAAAAATTATGATGAAAAATTGTGCAGCATAGATCCTTTGAGGGGCAGTTGTATTTAAGCTAGGAATTAGAAAGACTACTGCAAATTAAGTTAGTAATTTGATATAGTAATTCCTTCAAATTTTTGCATCTTGCATATTTATACCTTTTTAAAACTAAATTTTACATTTTTAATATTTAAGATTATTAAAATCATGCAATTTTTTATTCATTAAAAGTTATTTATATTAATTGGTGTATAATTTATATGCAAAGTTCATTAATTCATTATTTGGTTTATGCATAGCAAAAACATATAGGGCATCCTTTATTTTTTGAAGGGGCCCAAGATACATGCAATTGGATGTTTTAAAAATGCTTTTATCTTCACTACACTGTTTTTCAAAATTCAAAATTGAATGGTTGTTTGAATATGGAAAAGTGAGGATTATCTACTTAAGGGAAAGTTGCCTTAGTGAACGGCTTTTTTAAGGAGAATGGCTTGTATTCACATGGAGAAACCAATACTGTAGCCAGCCCATTCTTCTGGAATCGAACCCAAGACAAACTGCCAGTTTTCTTCAATTGAATGCAAAATTCATTTTTGCGAATATGTTAGCACATGAAGCATACAAATTGACTGACTTATGACGTGGTGCACAAAGGACATATGCTGGAATTCAGGTGCACGGTGCCATTTAATGCAGTTTCTAAGACAGTAACTTGCTAGGCTCTGAGAAGATAAATACAAATGGAGGTTTCCAAAGATCTGAATATCCAAAAAAGCATCATATTAGAAACTTGGAACCACTGTTTAAGTAATGAATTTATTAACAGACAGCCTGATCAAGGGCTGCTAAGACAACAACTGCATACGAAGTTTGTTTCCTGTCATTGTTGTCTTGCAGAAACTGTGAAGCATCTGCAAGACAGTTGGTTTTCAACATTCATGCTGCTAAAGGAAGTTGTTCTGTTGCTGCATAAAGGTTTCGTTGAAGTTCAGCCTTTTAAGATGGTAGTGTTGTCATGTTCAGTGGAAACAAGAGGAAAATTATCTACTGCTTACTGATAAACCCAAATATAACTTCAGTCGTGATTCTAGGAGTTTCATTTGAAGTGAGAGAAAGGAACATGCGACTTGCCTTCTCTTGTTCGTGCAAAATTCCATTTCTGTGAAAGCAGTTTAATGCTTCTAATGGAATCATTAAAAATGGCTGTACTTTGGAGGTTCTATGAATTATCGTAAGTATGTACACAAGGTCTCGGAACCCCATGTAGGGCTATTTAGTTGTCTGTTGGGCAAGATGTTTTCTTAAGGGATGACAGTGCTCATCTGCATCCAGCATCTTGGCATCATAACATTTGGAAAAAGAAGATGCTGAATGAACTGGCCAGCATTTTCCTCAGACTTAAGCCCATTTGAGCATATGTAGTATGCTTAGGCTGCTGAATTGCAGAGCACCAAATGCATTCCTGGAACCTTGATGATCTGAAAAGTGAATTTCCAGGAGAATAGCTCATTGTTCCACGAGACTTGATTGACAGTTCGGTAAATTCTATGAAATTAAGATGTGAGATTTGCGTTTCTGTTAGAGGTGACCATGTGCCATATTAAAGAGAGATTTGTTGCAAAACGGTAGATCATTTCTAATTCTTCTTAAATTTAATTTTAATTCAATATTTTGATGTTAATCAACTAACAAACATGATAATTTATGTTAAAAAAAGACTTTTGTACAAATTATTTTTATTCATTTTTAAATAAGTAATGTGTTAAGTTTAATTTCTGTCAATATTCTTTAATTTTGATGAGCAGTGTACATTACACGTACATTACACAAGGTCCCCCCCCCTTGCACTGTCATTTTATTTAGCTCAAATAAGATAAAATCTTTGTAAGTTTTCATTGAACACATTTAACTGAGACGTAAATATTTTTTATATTTTGTGTAGTAAAATTTTGTTTAGTAAGTATGTGAATGAAGTCTTCTAATGACTATTTGTATAATGTTTCCATTCACAAAGGATCTTCTGAATTCAGTTCCAAAACACCAAATGAACCGTTTTTTGCATTTACATGCTTTCCAATATGTATCGTTGTAAACACAACCTTATTTCTATCGCCAAAGCCCCAATCAGCGGCAAAGTTCTTATGACCACTGAATAGTGGTTTCAAACCCAGGTGAAAGAGCTTTGTTCTACATGCTTTGTTCTTTATGCAGAAAGTGCTGAAAATAGTAGTTCGATTTGGGTTTAGATCCTTTAGACTGTCTGGCTGTATGGGAGCTTTCATGGTTTTCTCCATGTGTGATGTGAATATCAACCAGTTTCCTTTAAAAAAAAACTCCTCCATTAAGATATCCCTTCCCTTAGGGAGATAGCCCTAGTATCCATTGCTCTGATCTAGTACAGTTCTCATGCAGAAAGCTCTTGAGCTCTTTGCCATAATTAACTAACCATCATCATTCGTAAAAGATATTTATCTTTTATATTTTCTAATTTTTAGGAGAATAAAAAATGCTGTCGTAGACGATGCTCTGTTAGATATGGTTCTTGGTTCGAGTTGACAAATATGTCACTTGAACAAATTCTGACTTTCTGTTATATGTGGATTAATGAATTCAGTCAGACCCAGATCATTGCTGAAACTGGAATTACCTCTGCCACGTACATTTCATGGAATAAATTTAATAAGAGAGTTTGTGAAGAAATAATTTTGGAAGAGAATCAGGTAATTTTATAAAGAAAAATTTATTTAAAAAAATTTTCATTTATTTATTTTTCTTGCATTATTAGAAAATATGTTGTATTTATTGATGAAAAATTCTTCTCAGGCTTTATAGGTGAAAAATGATAGCTAGAAGAGTAGGTAATATTCATTTAAATACTAAAATTATGCTGCTTTCATTTGTCAGACTTAACGTTGTTTACATTGGTGTACCAACTACAAACTTTGTATCACTTTACATCACGTCCATGAAAGTCCTTATGTGGCCTTTATTTTCACTACAGTTTGTCACTGGCACATGTTTCTAGATATGTTTTAAATAATGTAAACAGTCATGATAATGGCACTTTAAAATTTTAAAAATTATGAAATTCAATTTTTTATACATTTTCCCCCATGTCTGTAGTTAGATTTAGTCAAAGTTTACATTGATTATAAATGAAATACAAAAAGTGCAGAAAGCAACAAAAATTGATCGAACTATTTAAATTTTACCAAACTTGACTGAAATTTTAAAATCTGAATTCATATTCGAGTGTCATTCACAAATTATAGAGCAAAATGTTTGCATTTTTGCAAAACTAAAAATTAAATCAGCTTGGAATAGTTTCCTGATGCCCATTTCCAAGGATAACTAACTGGCACTTACTGCGTAGATAGCTATTTTTTCCTCCTCCAATGGTGAGCACTAGCCTATGATGGCCATGCCTTAGACCAGAAGTAGTGGCCATTTTATTGTGGAGGCACCTAATAGGCGACCAGCGTTACCTCCTGTGAAGGGACAGAAAACTTTTATATCCATGCTTTCTCCAGGATTCGAACCTAGGCACTTCGGTATCTTAGTCAAGCTCCCCTAACCACTATACCATCTGGGCGGTACGTCGATAGATATAAATATGAAGGACACCAAATGTGTGCAAATGTAGGGTATCGTCTTTGTACTATCTCTGAAAGATAAACATTCTGGTAAGGAATATCAAAAAGAGAAATTAGAGTAAAGACTAAAATTGCTATAACTGGTTAATTAATGTAAGATATTTTACAAATTGCTGGATGGTTAACCACCCATAACATTTGGCAAGTTAGGATATGCACTTTTCAAAGAAAAGGATTTGTTGGACTAAGATGTTATGTGTTGCCTCTGCATCATTACTGCCACCCTTGAACACACATCTACAAAACTTAAAAGTAAGTGACATTTTTTCATGTTTGAATCTTTATATGAACAGAGATAAGCTCAGACGGTGGATAAGTACTGCTAAGCTATTAATTTCCTGATGTCTAACTCAAGATTATAACCTAGAACCTATTGGAAAAATAAATCAAAACAATGTTAGCAAGACTTTTTGGAAATATAAATATAGAAGTTGGTGTAGGATTACTAATGCCTAGGCAGTTTGACTTCTTAGTAGAATACAGTCAAAAGTCGTTAATTCGGACACCCATAATCCGGAATGATCTATAATCCGGACCTCAAAGTTACAAACTTTCTGCGCATGCGTCGCACAGGCATTTACGCGTGCGTGTAAGACCTTTACGGCTGCGAATATGCGTGTGCGCTTGCGTGTTTAATGTATAACGGACGGTATACAGCTTGATGCATGCGCATAGGCATTTACGCGTACGCGTAAGACCTTGACTACTACTGCGCATATGCGTGTGCGCAAGTGCAGAATACGTTTTCGCCTGCGCGTTTAATGTATAACGGACAGTGTAAGCTAAAATTATCTAATGATCTATTTCAGTTAATGTTGCATGATTGCGTTGTTCCTTAATCTTCGAATTGGATCCCGCTTATTATTTTTTGCAGACTGTAAGAGCAATTTTATAAAAGTAAACTTGAACTTTCGATTATGTCAAATAGAATTTCCGATGCTGGAACTTCCAAAGGAGCTACAAAACGAAAGTATGTTTCGATGTCCAACAAACAAAAAGTAGAATTGCTGCAAAAAATGGATAAAGACATGAAGAATGTGACAGAGAGGTTAGTGAAAACGAAAAAATTTCGATTGACAAGTTAGTCGGTATTCTCGGCACAGCAATTAACGGGACTTGAACAGCGGAACTTTGTAACTGAACAAGAAATTATGTCTTTTTATAGAATTAAAGAGAAAGTATTATCACATAAAATGAAGCAACTTAAACAACTTACATTGAGAGAAATGTTTAATAAAGTAAACAAATAAATATTAAGTTTTTTTTTTTTTTTTGTAAACTTTGATACCCTTTAGATCATAATTGTTCTTTATTTCATAAATTATGGTTTCATATTTTTAATTTTAGAATCTGCATGCCATCTTACAAGATTTAAACTGATGATCTATAATCCGGAAAAATCGATAATCCGGAATCGCCGAAGTCCCGACGAGTCCGGATTAACGACTTTTGACTGTAATATGTTTTCCTCAAACTGCTATGTGGCAGTTATAATGCCAAGACATTGATATGCGATTTAAATGTTTTTTTTTTTTTTTTTTGGAAAATTTCTCATTCCTTCTTTAGAGCACGGAATTAGATTTGTGTGGTTTCTGGTAAAAGATTGTGAACCACAGTTCTCCCTGTATGTGCTGAATGGTTCTGAGGTCTGCAGACTTATGCAAGTTATTTGATTAAGTGGATATCCTCATCCACCCAGGAGATTCTCTACTGTTCTAGTCTGGTAAAGTGTGTTTTATCTCCTGTAAAAAGAAATACTTCTTCCCTAGCATGGAGCAGATGAACATGATGTTCGATAACTTCTTTACAGTCGTGGGCCTTCATCATGATGCCATCATCCTACAACTGTAACTCAAGAAGTCGATCAATTATGATGCTGCCTTGCAAGCTCACTCTAATATCAACATTATGCTACTTTTCTTGTACACTTTCCTGCTGGTATGTCTTAACTTTTGACATCAGATGATCTGCCATTTGGGTAAAAATATATTTACGGGTGCACCTTCACAATTTTTGGCGGTACATGGACACCAAGTTTGTGCAATTCTTTGACTTGTTGTTTTGGCTTTTTGTAGTGGCGATTTTTGCGACAAAATCGCCCCTACACAAAGCCAAAATAACAAGTCAAAAAATTGCAAAAACTTGGTATCCATGTACACATTGACTTATTTTCACTTAAAAACATCAGAGGATAGCACAAACTTGGCATTGCACACTCCCTTGACTTAGTCCATGCACACATCGATTTATTTTCACTTAAAAAGTCAAAGGAGCAACCAATTCTACAGTAGAGCCAAACAAAAAATATATAATCTCAATAAACTACATTTTAAATCAAACAATGAAATAATATATAAAAGGAAATTTATCTTAGTTTTTACACAAAGACCATTACCTTATTTAGAAATTTCTGTGTCTTCAGTCAAGCAAAATTCCTTAACAGCATCCAAAAACTTCCTAAAATTATCTGAACTAGAATTTGTATACTGGCATTGCCACCTAAATTCACAAAAATAAGAGTAAAAAATATCCCCTGTAGTGCCAGTATCCTCTGGCATTCGACCATACGCTTTTCCTTCGTACAAACAGGACACTTACAATGGCTACTAAGTAAACCTTCATTTACACACTGCTAATTAATGCTTTTTTTCCCTTTTGTTCCAACCTGTACAGAAACTTCAAATTAATCTTACCACATTCAGCCATTTTACAGTGTAAACCAAAATAACCACCGTACTTCCTAAGCAACATCTAGCACACAAACAAGCCCTTCATCTTTTTCCATCATTCAAATTCACCACAATTACGCAAACAATTATGTCATAATAGGGTTTCCATAATGTTCAACTACTCAGGTTACCATAAATGAAACAACTTCATGATAATCCAAGGGGCTTAACCACAACTTGTATTCTGACTGCAGATTGAATCGACTCCACTGAAAATCAAGATATCAGACTATTGCTGCATGGCTTAATGGGTCCGACACTATTACAAATGCATTTTATACCTTCTCTGGATAGTGCTATAGGGATGATCGGGCTTCAGACATATTCCTATTAGACTACATAAATTAAATTTCGAGCCATTCTTTAATGGGATATCCCCGTTCTTGTGCTGCAATAGAGGCAACCTGCAAGTTGTCTGGTTGTGTACATTTGCATTTGACTATATGGCTATATATTGATCTGGTGTTGATATAGAGGAACTGCAGTGTTCTACTGTACACATTCTAGTCATTTGAAATGCTATCCAAAGCCTGAAAACTCACTCTGTGTGATTTCAAACTCCATTTCAGCTTTGTAAAGCCTTCCATTTTCCACATAAATGTTCTACATATAAAACTGCCCTCTTTGAAGCAAGATGAACATTTCACATTTATATATATATATAAACCTTTACATTCAGAATTTTTGACAAATACAGTTCCTCATTAGTGTTAATTTCTTTTTCACATGCATTCAAGTTACTGTATGATCCCTATGTCAGAAATTTGCAAATTCACTGGCTTTCTGCTGCACATATTTTAATTAAACAAATTGTAACATGTTGATTTGTTGGATTCTGCATTGATAACTTTGCATGATGACATTCATCCTCAAGTTTTGAATATGAGTGCATATCTGTTTCTTATAGGCCATCCTCTTCTGTATTAAGTGTCTTTTTCAATATATGCAAGAGTTTTTCTGTTATTTACTTTTCATTTTTCATTATATGTCATTTTTGTTTCCTGTTTGGTCACACCATACACTTCATTAGATCTTTTTACATCTTACTTCCTTTTATCATTGTGCATCTGTGTATGCTTCTAATTTTTATCATTTTTTCAATATGCAGCTTTTTTCAAATTTACCTTTCTGATATTAATTTTGAATGTGTATGTTATTAATACTGTTTAAACAAAGTCAGACCTTAAAATGTTGGATGCAATTCAATGAGAAAGTTGCATGTTAATAATAACCTGAAAATCCTTTGCAGATATCATATATTTTTAATGTCTTAAAATGCCAGAAATGATATAGCATAACAGAAAATTTGAATATGTGAAAGTTTACATTTTATCTGTTGATAAATCTCATTGAATTAATTCTCATGAGTGAAATATATATGATTGCAAATATAAATGCATTTACAGGTATACTCAAATCAAGAAGTGCCAGTATCAGTATTCACTTGAAGCCAGATTACAAAAAGTAAAAAGCATATTATTTCATATTCTGATGATCTAATTTCAAAATTCATTATTCTGAAGTGGAACAAACAGAGTGGGGAACACTTGGCCACTAAATCCAGTGGTATAGAAATTTGTATGCTTCGGACTGTATAAATAATTTATAGCTTCGTGATAATACCTTTAAAATCAAAATAAATTTTGCTTTAAGTAGAATTTGAAATATTGTTGATGTTATATAAATTTTATTATCAGTTTTACAGTGAATTTGGTCTAGCTGGTATTTGATTTGAAAGAATTCAGGTATGAAAACGGGCAGTAAAGGCTCATTGTACCAATGGAGTTAAAATTTTAAACAATATTTTTTGTTAGTAATATTGGTTCTTCTAGTATTCTCTTTAAAAACTGCTAATTAACAACCTGTCAGAGCTTTAAATATATTTATCATTATAAATATTTGCTGTTAAAAATAAAAATGCCACTACCTTAAACTTAAATTTGGATTGTTTTAAAAATTATTTTGATTAATTTTTGTTGTTAACTTATAGATAGAGTCATCAAATTCTGCTCAAATTCTGGATTTATGGCTGAATAGTTGTGCTGGTGAAGATACATTCCTAAAATTTTTGCAAGCTGCCACTACTATTTATCACAAAGATTCTGCTAAACGGTTTATTCTTTAAATATGTTTTGTAAATATTTTTTCAATGTGTAAAATTTTTTGACTTCAAGAATGAAAGTTTCTTATTTTTAAGGCTATAAGGTTTCTTCTTCATTTATTTAAAGAGTTGTAAAATATAATTTACGCTACTACTATTTATCACAAAGATTCTGCTAAATGGTTTATTCTTTAAATATGTTTTGTAAATAATTTTTCAATGTGTTAAATTTTTTGACTTCAAGAATGAAAGTTTCTTATTTTTAAGGCTATAAGGTTTTTTCTTCATTTATTTAAAGAGTTGTAAAATATAATTTACTATCTTTATTTAAGAACTGTAGATGACAGCTTAATTATATTTTTAGATTAATGTTCCGTAAGATGTGAAGTATGTTATCTGGACTATGCATATCAATATATTTTATAGAATGTAACTTGCCTAGGTAGGCATATAAAGTTATGTGCAATAGTATTTATGTATTCGTTTCTATTTTACTTATTGGTTTATCATATTTTTACATGGATTTTTTTTTTTTTTTTTTTTTTTTTTGTATGTATATTACTTTTAGTGTTTTCTATTACAGAATAATATTTTTGCTAACTAAAAAAAAAAAAAAAAAAAAAGGTCAAATAAAATGCTTTTTGAGTTGTTTACACTTCTTGCTTGTTATGCTTGGTGTTTTTTAAATATATATATATATACACGTATGTAAGTAGAAAAGAATTCCATTGTCATAGCGTATGAATCCTTACGTGCATCTCGCCTGCGATACTATTTTAAGCTGGTTGTCGACGTGAACTTCATCGCGCTCTTACCAGCATCTCAGATGCCCCTTAAGGGGGATTCCTCTCGTACGAGACCTTATTTGAATTGCCTGGGGGGGGGAAGGGGACTTTTATGGGATACGAGCTCTTGTCTACGCACAAGGATGCTCTCTCAACTTTCAACTCTCGATTTTGCTTTATAAATATTCATTTATTCAGCATGAGTTAGTAACCTTAGAGGGTGTAAAAATGCATAATGTTGAAAATTTTAGCTGCTAGTATTCCGAAGTTTAAAACTGCAAAAAATAAAGAGATTTTGCTATATAACGCTATTTGACAACAAATATTTCAAAAGTCGCCTAGTTCATCAGTTCACACAATGAGTAAATGAAGGAATAAAAAGTGAAAGACACATATATTGGCTATCAAATACACAGTAGCTTAAAAATAAAAGGTTAAACAGAACTCACGGAAATTGAATCTTTGAAAAATTAGGCCAGAATAAAAGGAATTCCGAATATCATCTTATTGTAGATAGAAGTTGCCTAATGTAGTCATTTTAAAGCAGTACAAATAGTATATTTAACGGCGCAGTTAAAAAAAATCAAAGAAGCAGTTTGCTTTACACTGTTTGCATTTTAGAGACATAAAAATAGTATACATTTTACGCGAGTGTAAATATGTTGACTGTGGATTTAATGTGCAGCAGAGATGTAAAAAAAGTGATAATTTGTTTTAACAAACTGCTGCTTTAATCACTTGTTGCATTTTTCGAATTGCAAGTTTTACAACTGCAAATTACTGCAGTTAATTTACGAAACAAATTCAAGATTTTCTAACTGATCTAGCTTAATATGAACATGTAGCTGTACCTCTACAGGTTTATGCAGCGAAGCGATGACTGATTCTAATAACTTGTAAATTAAAAGTTTTGTTCTGTTGAAATGGATCACATGAAAATTACACAATTATTACATTATCGGAAAATTTCTGAATTAATTTTTTCCAAATTTGAAATTTATATTAGTCGAGAGATGGATAGGTTTGGTTAGATTATTTGAATATTGGCAAAGTACACAATGGCTATCTGCCTAAGGGAAAGTGTGTGTGTGTGTGATTATGGCAAAGCCTCGAGGGCTATCTGCCTAAGAGAAGGGATGCCTTCGTGGAGGACTTTCTAAGGGAAACTGGCTCGTATACACGTTACACATGGGGAAAACCACGAAAACACCCATGCAGCCAGCCCGTTCGCGGGATTCGGACCGAACTACCAGTGTTCAGCGACTTTACCGCTCGGCCGCTGGTGGGCCACCTAAGGGAAAGAAAGGGATGTCTTCCGGGAAAACTTTCCAGGGCAAACTGGCTTGTATTCATGTTACACATACATAAAACCATGAAAACAAATTATGCTGAGAACCCGTACGACTTGAATTTGAGCCTAGGACTACTTGGTTTTTTTGATTACGGCAAAAGCACTCGAGGGTAGCTGCCTAAGAGGAGAGAGGTCGAGTTACTAGTTATCAGCGACTTAACCATTCAGCCACTGGGGGCTCGATCTTAGAACGAACTACTAGTGTTCAGTAGTTCTTAACTATTTGGTCACATGCGGGGCCATCAAGAATTAGAGGAAGCAGGAGAGTTTTAAGGAGGAATATTGAAACGCTGGAATTTTTTTTTTTTTTTTTTTTTTTTTTTTTTTCCAAGAGGTGTGACACTTTGAATAAAATTTGTATACGTGAAAAGAGACTAGGAGTCGACAAAAAGCAACATTGCTTTTATAGCGCTGTATCTTATAACACTGTTTCGCTCTTGCACGATAAGAAAATTGCAAAAACCCTCTTATAACACGACAACAGAATTTCATTCTAGTACGTTAATGAATAAGCATAAATCCTCTTATAACACTTTATTTCACTTCGATAACACGATTTTCATTCTAAACATTTACAAGTATATAGTTTAGTACACAGTAACAACCTACTTATTTATATATCCAAAAATAAAATAAATTCCGGGAATACCCGCTATCAAGGTCTTCATTTATCTTGGGCTTATTTTATACCAGCCATACTGCACCAAATGGGTTTTTCTTATTCGTTCCTTAGTAGCCATTCACAATGACTACGACACCTGCATTTTCTCACACAAATTCTTTTGAAATTGAAGTAGTGCCCATAATTTATGAAGTGTTTAGTTGGTAGATTGCAAAAATTCTGTAATTGTGATTTTGGAAGAAACTTAAAAAGGTTGTGTTACTAATTAGCTTTGTCGTTTTTGCGAGTAATTATTGCGAAATTATATTTCAATCCCAAACTCAAAACAACTTTTAAAAGAAAATTATTTTTTTGGAAATGAAAATACAAATTCTGAATCGTTTGTTAAAAGAACGTTGCGTAAAATCTAAATTTAAGTGAGCTGATAGCAGAACCATTAGAAAATGAAAAAGAAATTGGAAATGGAGTTACCGCAGGACGTTCCATATTCGCTAAATATGCTGCTACACTGACTACCAATAAGTATTTGGACACCTGTGATAGAAAAGAAAAACTAACTTTATTCAAAATCAGTAGTTGGTAGAGCCTCCACGAGAGGTAATTACAGCGTGGACCCTCCGGGGCATACTTTCCACAAGTCTTTGTATGACAGCTATTGGTATTTTCTTCCACTCTTCTTGGAGAAGACATAGAAGTTCCTTCACCGATTTTGCACAGGTAGTGCACCCCTGAATTCGGGGATGCAACTCGTCCCAGAGGTTCTCGATAGGGTTCAGGTCTGGACTCTGGGTAGGCCAGTCCATTCGATGAACTCCATTGGCTAACGTCGAAACATGACAACTGGCATTGTCGTCCTGAAAGTAACAGGGGTCCAACCCGTAAAACTGCCACAACGTAGGAAGCACATTGTCATCCAAAATAGTGCAGTAGGTATCGGAGTTGAGCTTACCATGAATGGGGACCAAGGGTCCCAGCCCATACCAGGAGAAACACCCCAGACCATAATTCCACCTCCGCCGAACTTGACTGGCACAATGCATTTTGGCAGGAGACGTTCTCCAAGTAGACGCCAGACCCAGACCCTGCCATCCGAACGGTAAAGGGTGAACCTTGATTCGTCACTCCAAAGAACTCGTTTCCACTGATCTACGGTCCAATTTCGATATGCTTTGCACCACATTAACCGAGCAGCGCGGTTGGACTTTGTGATCAAAGGCTTATGGGCAGCAGCACGACTATGAAAACCAAGCAGATGTGTTTCCTTACGGATGGGTATTCATTGAAACAATACTCCCGGATGCCTGTTGAAACTCCTCGCGGATGAGGGCTATCGGTTGGGTGCAGTTCTTCCGAATTTCTCTGGACAGCACTCGTCGATCTCTATCTCCCAGTTTCGTTGGTCTGCCGATTCGGGGCACATTCCGCTCACCTTCCACTTCTTAATCACATAGGCCACTGCCAATTTTGGGTACTTCAGATCGCTAGATATGTCCCTTAAGGATCGGCCACATTTATGATACCCTATAATTATACCTTTCTCGAAATCAGAGAGCTCCGAACTGCGAGGCATCTTGCATGCGACTAAAGCCGATGCTGTTTCCTACACGATATATACCGGCGGAGTCCGTGAAATACCTTAGGACCGCAGATATCGTCATTTGCATAGGTGTCCAAATACTTATTAATAGTCAGTGTAGTTCTCGTACGCCATTTATTGAAAAAATGGAAGACACTCAGCATTTGAACACTTGTGCAAGGAGGATTCCACTGGACAGTAATTCATTAGAGAAAAGGCTCTCAAAATTCACAAACATTTGTGTGGGCCTCGAGAATCATCTTTTTAAATCCAGACGTTTGGAGAAGTTAAGGGTTAGTTCGAGAAATTAAAAAAAAAGTTATGCAATTCATAATATACGAATTCAAGGAAAATCCGCGTTAGCTGATCATTAAGCTGCCAGAACAAAGGGTGATTGAAAATCGAAGATATAAAACACATCAACAAACAATGCCGATTAGACTGGGTTTCAGTGGGAAAAAAATGCCCAAGAGGACCTTTGTATGAAAAATAAAAAGCATCCAGTTTTAAGGCATCTAAAAATCGCATAACGTTATTTTTGTGCAGCACTGTGTCGTGAGAATGAATGACAAAACCCATGCGCTTAAAAGCGGGAATAAAAATACCTTACCAGCACATTGGAAAGCAAACCCAAAGGTTTGAGTGACAGGAAATTTGTTTAAAGACTGTTTAGTCGTTTAATATATATACATGTATGTATAAGCTTCAAGGTGCTACTTCTAATAGATAACGTACCAGACGCTCTTTGAATTTGACACATCCTA